ACTCTAAATCCTTCTATCTAATATTTCCTGCTGCTCTCACTCAAGAAAACTCTGGGGAACTGTGGGGTTGGTGGGTAAATGCCCCGCATATGAACAGACCTAAGTCTTCTAGGTTAGAAACACCAGGGTTTCTTGGACTTTTCATTCCTTTTCAAAGCCATTGTATGCCTACCTATGCCTTATCCTTCCTAAAACACTGTTTTCCATATACTTTTCTACTTCTCCAAAGTACTCCACATTTACTAAAACCTGACAAAGTAAATTCCTGCTATTCAGGTGACCCTTTAAGACTTTCTAAATTCTAATTTCAGTCTGTATAGATTTCACTGGATACTCTGAAGCAACTTCTGGAGAAATAAAAAGCTAAGCCAGATATTATTCATGTTCCAGAAACACATCATCCATTAGGTAGAACATAAAAACTATGAGATGTGAGATGATGTTGCTTGGTTTGATATCACCAGAGAATATCAGCACCCTCTCCATAGTCCCAGTGGTCCTGCAGTGGTTTATAGAGTGCCAAAGGGATGTTTTCTTCCTAGCCTCCCTGCAAAATGCCAAGTAGCCTGCCACAGCCAGAGCCACCATGAAGTACCTTTCCAACTTCTACTCTTCTGTTCTCGCCCTACTCCTCCATATTTACTGGCAGCAGAGCGCTTGGATGGCCCAGAACAACAGTTTCCACACCAAAGGTGTCGGCCCAGAGTGATTAAAAGCATCTCCAGAAAAAAAAATTCTGTGTTTCCTCTGGGCCGAACCACATCACCTGGTGGTCATTTTGAACATGCTCCATAACTTCTGATCTTCATGCACTATAAGCAGGTTGGCTCAAATCTGGTTTTGTCATTATTTTGTTTTAGACCTGTGGGGAACGACTCCTGCTATTCCTTCTGTCCATGTACCTCTCTGTCTTCAACACAGCTCCCTCCTTCTCCCCCTGGACCAGTGAAAACTTCCACAAATGTAAGCAAAGGCAAGCAGGTGTTTCAGCAATCTTTCAAAGATAAGTAACCACTTGCCATGTAGAAATGAAGGGGCAAGCATTTCAGACAGAAATGACGGCACTGTAAAGACAGCAGAATCACCCAGGAAATTCTCAAGTCACTGAGCAACAGGAAAGTCCCTCTTGTTACTCAGAATCTTCCTACATCATATATTGTGGCTTGTTCTTTCATAACTGTCCCAGGCCCATCATTCACTATTTGCGCTTCTGTAAAGCACATAGGTACCTCCATCAATTCATTATTTATTGGCTTGAAACTGTGCTAAGCAGTAAGAGTACATAGGAAACAAGCATAATGCCTGCTCTCATTTATCAAGAAAATGAGGAAATAACATCATAATTGTAATAAAGAAAAAAAGAGTATTCAACATAGATGGTATAATAGTGGTACTTGGACAATGTAGAGGCAAACCTAATCCCAAGTCAATGCCTACCCACCACACCATAGCTACTCATTCACCTGTCAGTCTTCTCTGTCAGATAGCAAACCAGCAAATCGGGACCGTCTTACTCATAGATACAACATATATATTCCCCAGATCCAGACCAGAAGTAGATATATAAAGGGGAACCAATCTGGATGCCACGATTTCTAAATTTTCACCCATTAAATTAGCATAAAACTAAATAGTAGAATACAATTATTCTTTTTGAATAAACTAATAATCCAGGCATAGTGACACATGCTTGTAATCCTAGGCCTCAGGAGTCTAAGGCAGAGGACTGCCAGTTTGAAGCTAGCCTGGGCTCTATATAAGAGCTTGTCTCAAAACCACAACCACAAAAACCTAATAATTTTGATCTATAAAATTAAGAGAACTTAAAGGAATATATTAGGCAATGGGAGGAAGAGTTCCTGGTGAGTCCTGTGATTTCTAACAGTACAGATTCGTCTTGCTTGGTTTTGGTTTTAAATAAATAGAATACTACTTGAGGAAGCCTTTTGGACTCCAGACTCTGCTTGTTATATTTTACTTATGTGATTCTGAGAGGAAAGAGAGGTCAAGATGACAAATAGCCATGTGTCAAAAGGCTGATGGGAAACATGTGGTGCAGAAGGGGATGTGTGATGGTGATCCGGATGTGCCTGGAAACCATCTGACAATTCAGGACAGAAAGCAGAAGTGCAAAGTCATGAAACTTCTGAGTAAGTGTCAGGATCCTCTGGACCACCCCACAAACACACAGTTACACAACCCAATCCCTGGAAAGCAAGAGACCCCCAAGAAAGTGGATTGTCACAATCATGTTTATTTGTTGACTGATAGCCAAACATTTCCACAGATCATGTGTCAAACACCGTGCAGAGTACTAAGTGCTAAGTGTTGGAATACAAGAATACTCACACGTAGACAAGTAAGCAGAGCACTAGAAAGCAGAGTAACGTGTGCTAAGAATTTGGCATTGACTCTAAAGAAGCATCCTCTGTAAGAGTTGTAACCAGCCGGGTGGTGGTAGCACATGCTTTTAATCCCAGCACTTGGGAGGCAGAGACAGGAAGATCTCTGAGAGTTTGAGGCCAGCCTGGTCTACAGAGTGAGTTCCAGGACAGCCAGGGCTGTTACACAGAGAAACCCTGTCTTGAAAAAAACAGAAAAAAAAAAGAGTTGTAACCATGGGGCTGGAGTGATGACTCAGCAGTTAAGAGCATGGGCTGCTCTCTCAGAGAACTCTCGTTTGATTCTCAGCACCAACACAGCAGCTCACAACTGTCTGTAACTCCAGTTCCAGGGGGTCCAACTCCCTTTCCTGGCTCTGCTATTTTTTAGACGCATAACGAAGGAAAGTTAGTTAACCTCTCTCTATCTCAGTCTCTTTATCCATAAACAGACATTTTTTAATCTGCCTCAAAGACAGTTATCAACATCTGTAGCTGGAGTTTTCCTACCCGGTCCACTGTCAGGACAAATCTCTCTCACCCGCCAGTCCCACAGCCACTCAGACCCAACCAAGTAAACACACAGAGACTTATATTGCTTACAAACTGTGTGGCTGTGGCAGGCTTCTTGTTATCTACTTATTCTATCTTAAATTAACCCATTTCTATTAATCTATACTTTGCCATGTGGCTCGTGGCTTACCAGTACCTTACATCTCCCTTGTCATGGCAGTGGCTGGCAGTGTCTCTCTGCCTCAGTCTTCCACTTCCCAGAATTCTCTTCTCTGCTTGTCCCACCTATACTTCCTGCCTGGCTCCTGGCCAATCAGTGTTTTATTTATTAACCAATCAGAGCAACATATTTGACATAAAGAATATCCCACAGCACTTCTCCTTTTCTTTTTTTCAAAAAGGAAGGTTTTAACTTTCACATAATAAAATTACCGATAACAAAACAATTATCAAGCAAGAATTACAGTTACACTGTCTAGTCTATTTATAATATCTATTCTACTTGTATTTGGCAAAATTAAAGAAGATATCCTATCTATCCTATGTTTGTGAGTCTAAGGTTTCATATCTAACTTATCTTTTATCATAACTAAGGAAAATTGTATCTAGCTTCAACTACATCAAACACCTCAGAAGGATATAATACTACCTGAGAAATGGGAGAAGGATGCAAGCAACTTTTGGGAGTCTTGTGAGAGTAGACAGAGACAGCTGGCAGCCTGGACAGTCATCCAAAGTTTCTCTGTAAAGTTGGGGCATCTGTCTTCAGCCCACAGGCCTAGAGTCTCTCAGTCACTTCTCTCTGAGTCCTGTAGAATGTCTGGCAGTTTCCTCTGTGAAGCAGGAACCTGAAGGACCATTTTGCCAAGCAAAGTTCAGTGGTCACCTTCCCATGGGTCCTGCATGTCCAGTTGATCAAGCAGTCCAGGCAAGAACAGTTTTTTGCCCAAATGGCTATTTTTGCCAAGAAGAAGATAAACTCTGTATGGAGTGTCTTCGATACCCATCCTCCTCTCTGAAGTAAATCGGTGCTGCCATGAGCAAATATGTCTCATTGTCCAGAAAGTCTAAATTTTTTAAAACATTTTAAATGCTGTATTCTGTAGGTCTTTGAAGTATTTGAAGATTACCTACCTAACTGAAATATATCTATGAATACCTAGAAAACTTAACATGACTATAAGTTTGACTATCATAGAAGACTAATTGTTTCATTACAATTTAAATGAGTTGTATAAACATAATACCTTAAACAAGAGTAAAAATACACATACAGTATAACAAAATTAACTTTAAATTTGTATCAATAAACTAAAATCCATAGCAATGTAAAACATTTTAAAACAAATTGCTCTTTAAAAGTAGATTCATTAATCTACCCTTTCATCCTATCATTATCTATACTATCCCCCTTTCTTCTTTAGAAAGAGATTGCATTTATAATCAACCAGTTTTAAAATAAAAATATTGGTTCTTCTCTGTCCCACACCAGAGGGCTCTTCTGATTTGAGACACAAGAATCTCTTAACCTTTTTTTTTTTAAAGCAATATGTTTGGGTTTAGAGAAGGAGTGAGCCAATTCCATCTCCAAAGCCAGCTTGGTATATTTGGGAATTTGGACGTAGCTTCTCTCACTACTTCCTGCTGGAGGGGGCACTGTATCTTATGGGGACGCAAAGACAGACATTAGGTAAACTGTAAATGACTGGCTCTGACAATGCCGCCATCAGCAAAGACTTGTGATTGTTGAAGTTTGTGTCAAGGGGTTAATAAAGTTCCTTATCCCTCTCACAGATTGGTGCCAAAAGAGTTCAAAGGCTGATGTCACAAAAGTATGACCAGCCAGGGTAGAAGTAAACCATGAGTCAGGATCATCTAACTAGACCAATTGCCTATTGACCAAGACTGCTAGATATTTTGCTGGAGGTGGAGCTACTGGGGGTGTGATGTCCACTACAACACTTCTAATATTTTTTTTCCCTCATCATACCTCTGGCTTTCTTCCAAAGAGCTTAAACAGACTGGCAGAAGTAAGAGAACGGATATGGGAACGGACGGAGCTGTCAGGGACAGCTTTATAGCCTTCTTCTTCTTCTGTGTTTACAGGGAATGAAGTTTCACGAAACAGTACAAGAAGAACAGTGATGAATGGTGTTCTGGGGGAGTCTACAACCCTTCCTCTGGAGCTTCCTGCAAGAACGAAGGCCATCGTCTGGCATTACGTAGGAGAAGCATCGAATTACGTAGAAAAAGGATCACATGTCACTATAATCCTTATCATCCAGCTAAATAAGTCTGAAAATCCACAAATCCTGAAAACTGATCCAGAGAGGGGAAAGAGACTGCACATCACCCAGTCCTACGCTCTACAAGTCAGCAACCTCACAATGGCAGACACAGGATTGTACACTGCCCAGATAACCACAGAGGACTCTCCACCGAACTTCTTTACTTATACTCTGAGGGTCTTTGGTGAGTCCAAATACAACATTTAATCACATATAAAGTAAAAACAAGTACAAATCACATATGTCAACCCTATGTGCCGACAAGAACGCACTGTAAAGCTGGGCAGTGGTGGCGCACACCTTTAATCTCAGCACTCAGGAGGCAGAGCCAAGTAGATCTCTGTGAGTTCAAGGCCAGCCTGGTCTACAGAGCGAGATCCAGGACAGTCACCAAAGCTACACAGAGAAACCCTGTCTCAAAAAACCAAAAAAAAAAAAAAAAAAAAGCACTGTAGCCTAGTGATAAAGAGGATGGCATTTGGCATCACTGTGAGGTCCAGAAGTCAAGCAGTTCGATAACACTGCCAGTTAAACAGCAGCAGAGCTGAGTTAGAAGCTTGAGTCTTGTGTCTCTCTACACCAGTCACTTCAATTCCCCCTTTCAACCGGAAATGTAGAGTTAACGGAAGCAAAATACTTGATGATACTCTTAACATAAGCAGTGGGTCTCTATCACATGCTCCTTACAAAGGTTCTGCACGGTATGCACAATCCTATGCCCAAAGCATAGGCTTAGTCACAGTCTCGGAGATGGTACGTGGGCACTTCCTGTTGTATTTTAAAAGTGGCACAAAGAAGTCAAAGCACACAACAGGACCCACGTGGAAGATTTATTTAAGGGAGGGGAGTAAAGGAGCACAGAAGGAGACCAAGACCAGTCCCTGGGGACAAGAGCAAAGAAAGAGAAAGAGACAGGAGGTGTACAAGGCCCATCTTTTATAAGGAAACAGAGAATGCACACAATGGGTGCTCTTAGTGGCTGCAGCTGAGGATGTATCCTGTCAGGACCCTAAGAGCAGATCAGTACAGATGCCTAAATGCTAACATTTCCCACATGACTGACCTGTCTCTCATTACACAAAGGCCAAGCTGACCCAGCAGAGTTATCTACTTAGGAAGTGCTCTGCACAGGTGAGTCAATTCATAGAAAAACTAATAGAAAAATTAATAGAAAACTTTTTCTATCAAGGTTATTTAATTTCTCAAGATTGTTTATACTGATCATTAATCAAAAAAAAAAAACAACTGCCTTTCTAACTGGAGTGATGATATACATCTGTAAACCCAACATGTGGGAATTTGAGGCAGGAGAACCAGGAGTTTGAGGCCAGCCTAGACTACATAGCCAGACTGTCTCAAAAAAATAAACCTACCTTCCTAATATTAAAGAATGAAAGTATTTTCAACATAAAATTATGGAAATGAGATACTTTATTCATCTAAACCATGAAAAAATCTAGCTACTAGAGATGTTCAGAAATGCCATGGATGGCTTAGAGACAATCACTTAGCAATATTTTACAGGAAACCCAAGCACTAAATTGGCTACCCAGGGGCAGTGTTCTTAGTTAGGGTTTCTATTGTTGTGGGGAGACACCATGACCACACCAACTCTTATAAAGGAAAACATTTAATTGGGGTCGCTCACTTACAGTTCAGAGGTTTAGTCCATTATCATCATGGCGGGAAGCAAGGCAGCATGTAGGCAGCCATGATACTGGAGAAGGAGCTGAGAGTTCTTACATCTTGACCCACAGGCAATGGGAGTGGTCTGAAACACTGAGCATACCTTGAGCATAGGAGACCTCAAAGTCCACTCCCACAGTGACACACTTCCTCCAACAAGGCCACACCTACTCCAACAAAGCCATGGCTCCTAGTAGTGCCACTCCCAACGAGCCTACGGAGGCCAGTTATATGAGAACTACCGCAGGCACTGAGATGGCACAGTAGGCAAGGGTGCTTGCTGCCAAGCCTGACGACCTGAGTCTGATTTCCAGGGCCCAGGTGGAAGGAGAGAACAGACTCCTACAAGTTGTCCTCTGATCTCTTATGCATACCTTGGCACTCATGTACACAGACACAGAGAGAGAGAAAGAGAGAGAGGAGGAGGAGGAGACGCGGAGACATGGACACACACACACACACACACACACACACACACACACACACACACACACAAATAAAAGTAAATAGTTCAATTAACTGAATTTTACCTGGTCATGATGGTGCACACCTTTAATCCAACACTCCAAGGGCAGAGGCAGGTGGATCTCCATGAGTTCAAGACCAGACTAGTCTACATAGTGAGTTCCACGACAGCTGTTGCTATGTACAGAGAACCTGTCTCAAAAGAACAAACAAAAAAATAAATTAATTAAAATTAAATGTTATTACAATTTTAAAAATAAATATGTGACTTGGATTCCATATTAGACAACATTAAAGACTACTGAGATTCTGTAATTTCTAGCTACTGAAGAATCCACAAGATCCAAAATTCATTTAGAGCCCTATGGCTTAAGATGTGGAATTCTTTAAAAGGCAGCATTAAAATAAAACGTCTCCACAAATCGGTTACACTTTAACCTTTATATCCCCTGAATATTTGATGAGTTTGCCTTGTTACATTAGTTAAAGTCACATCACTGAAAGAACATGACACAAAACAAGTAAGTATGACTGGGAGAAAAGGGTGCCTGGAAATTTTCTGAGCAGAGGATTCCACGAAAATGGGCCAGGTATTCTCAGGGCAATGTATTTGTTTCCTGAAGTAGCCAAAATAAAATTTCACAAGTTTCATGGCATAATCAGCTCTGGTGACATTCTAGGTATGGACAGAAGGCCATCTGTTCTTTGTGTCGCTGCTTCTGGTTATTATAGATTCCTTCATGTTCCTTGGCCATGGCTCCATCATTCTCGCCTCGGCCTTCTCCACCTCGTCATGTCCCATCTTCTGTTTGTCTCAAATGTTCCTTTGCTTATTTGTTAGACAGACACTTGTCCTTGGAAGATCAGGGATGACCTCCTCAACTAGTTTACATAAATGTTACACAGACCTTTTATTCAAGTAAGATAACACAAGTCTGGAACTGAGATGCAGGTGTCTCTTTGGGGCTGTCCTCATCCCAGCCATTACAGTTATGAATGCTCAGCCTTATCTAATGCTTGTCCCACTAACTCTTATAACTTAGCCTGTTTCTCTTCAACTACATTTTGCCTTGGGGCTTTTTCACCTTTCTTTCCTTCTGTGTATCTTTAAAGATTTATTTATTTATTTATTATGTATACAGAAGAGGGCACCAGATCTCATTACAGATGGTTGTGAGCTACCATGTGGTTGCTGGGAATTGAACTCAGGACCTCTGGAAGAGCAGTCAGTGCTCTTAACCTCTGAGCCATCTCTCCAGCCCTTCTGTGTATCTTACTTTCATGTTTGGCTGGCTGGTGGCTGCCTGGCTTCTGGTCCCAGGTGGATCCCTCTCTTTCTCCCTTGTTCTCTCCTCCTCTCTAGAGCCTAGATTCCTCCTCCTACTTGTTCTCTCAGCCCACCAGCCCCACCTATCCCTCTCCTGCCTAGCTATTGGCCATTCAACTTTTTATTAGACCAATCAGGAGCCTTAGGCAGGCAAGGTAAAACAAATGCAACACATCTTTACATAATTAAACAGATTCAGCACAAGCAAATGTAACACATCTGTACATTGTTAATAAAGGCAGCCGAAACAAATGTAACACACCTTCATATAGTTAAAGTAATATTCCACAGGTTAAACCAATGTAACACATCTTTGCCCAGTTAAAATTATACTCCACAACAGTCCTGTGTCCTTTCTTTTTTTTTAGTGTGCTTTGGTGTTTTGCCTGCATGTATGTCTGTATGAGAGTGTTGGATCCTAGAGTTGTGAGCTGTCATGTCAGTGCTAGGAACTGAGCCAGGACCCTCTGGAAGGGCAGTCAGTGCTCTTAACCGCTGAGCCATCTCTCCAGCCCAAGTCATGTGTCCTTAACTAAGGTTTTTTTACACAGAACGGCTGAGTAACCTAGAAGTTACCAACCGTACTCACCTGTTTGAGAATGGGACCTGTGAGATCCACCTGACCTGTATTGTGAAGAATCCAAATCATACTGTCTCAGTTGGATGGCAGGCGTCAGGAGGCACCTCTTTAAGGGAACCAAATCTCACTGTCTCCTGGGACCTGAAGAATTCCAGTGACCAGAGTTATACCTGCCAAGCTGAGAACGCTGTCAGCAATCTGTCCATCTCTGTCTCTGCCCAGAGTCTTTGCACAGGTAACGCCTACCTTGGGTCTTTCTGAGAGCATCAAGCAGTGGTGTAGTGTTATGGCATGGATTCTCAGCCTGTGTGAGTGCTTGGACAGTGGCAAGGGGAGGAGCCAAACTCCTGTGGAGGGGGACCAACAGCTCTAAAACTCTGTGCCTCTCATTAGCCTCCCTCCTTCCCTCCCCAAATTCTCTTCCAAGAGCAAGGCCTCAGGAGCCAGGATGGCTTTCTCCCTCCTCCAGCCAGGCCCTACCTGTCCTGCTTCCCCAAGGGTCCCCAGAAAGCCTGACAGGGCCCCAAGATGGGAGTATAAATGACCACACCCAGCTCCTGTAGGCAGTCCAGAAGACACTCAAGAGAGACCCTAAAACAAGCTCAAAGGAGCCCTCATTTTATGTATCCTAAGAAGTTCCACTTCTCTTTCTTCTTCTTCTCCTCCTCCTCCTCCTCCTCCTCCTCCTCCTCCTCCTTCTCCTTCTCCTTCTTCTTTTTCTTTTTAGGTGATTTAACTAAGGAAAAGCTATACCAGGATAAAATATTGCTTATAATTGGATTGTTGCTGGCTATAGCCTTGGTGTGCATATGCATATGTATTTGGAAGAAAAGAACAGGTAAGTTTTCCTTCTGCCTTCTTCTATCTCCTCTAAGACTGCAAGTGTTTAGAGTCTGGGGCCCATGGTTGTCGAGGGTCAAGGGAGGGTGGACACAACCTCTGGTAAGTTAATGCATTGGGATGACCCCTGGAGTATGGCCAGACATCTGTTAAGATTTCAAGAGAGGTGTCTTACTGAGAAAAGCAGGATACAACCTCAGGATGCACTTGCTTGCCTGCCCTTCATTTGGGACCTGTCACCTGCATCCTCTGGAAAGACACCTGTTGGGGGTGGGGGTGCGGGGAGGCGGGACGACTTCCCTCATGGAAGTCATGCATTTCAACTTCCTGCTTTTATTTTTCAGGTTTTCTTTCTTTGGCTAGCCAACATCCAGGTGAGCACCCATGCTCTTAACTACAAAACTTAAAGCACAGAAAGAGATAAATAAAAGAGGAGAGAGGGGGGCTGTCCAGAGGGCTGAAGCAGTGAGAGAGGAGAGAAATCAGAGCATCACTGTTCAGCTGGACTCCATGGTGTCAGAGAGCCTGGTTGGTCACCGCGAGACCTGTAGAGTTTCTCCCAAGCATGTGAGGGACATCATGGTTTTCTGCAAAGTCAAGATCACTTCCTTTCTGACGGAGAAAATAAGTGCCAGTGAAAGGATCCATGGACCACCCCTGTCATTCAGCTGGTTTGGGGACAGAAAAAGGCTTGAGCATGAAACACTGAAAACCAGGCTCTGTGACTACACTGTTAATGTTCAATCAAGGTTTAGACCCCAGTGGATAGACACCATTGAAAAAGAAGGTGTGATAAGGAGATGGGAATGCAGGCTCATTTTCTAAGTCTCATCCCATGGATGATAGTCTCAAGATACCATTTTTGAAGAGAGGGCACAAGGTCGGGAGTCAGAACACTTGCATTCCAGTTCCTGTCCCACTGCTTCCTGGGTGACTTTGTACAGGTCTACTGAGCTCTCTTGTGAGTCAGGAGATGCCAGCCCACCATCCAGGGAGCAGCCTGTAATGGCATACAGGTAAAGCCACAACACACGTGGCAACATATAGATTAACAAAAATGGGCTGAGTTTAAGTGTAAGAGCTAGTCAGTGGTAGGCCTGAGCTAATGGCCGAGCAGTTTTAATTAATATAAGCCTCTGTGTGTTTACTTGGGTCTGAGCGGCTATGGACCAGGCGGGACACAGAAAAAGTTCAGCTGCACTCTTGAACCTGCAATTCTTCATCTCTAAAACAGTCAAATCTGTCACAACTGCCTGTGAAAACAGTGTCTCCAGAGATCCTGTGGGGTGCGGCATTTAGTCCTTCATGTGTTGACCATGAGGGAGTCACTGAGATACTAAGTCATAAGAACACCATCAACTCACCCAAGAAATGAGGTTAGAAATAGACCATATGAAAGTTCTTGTTCAGCCCACATCTCCAAAGATTGGGAGGTGGGAAGGAAGTCCTTAGGGAAGAGCAAGCTAGAAACACCTGCTTTGGGGATAAAAAGTGCTCTGGAGACCAGAAAGACCCAAGATCCTGTAGGAAGCAGCCCCACAGTCCTACCACTGACAGCCATCTGTACCTTTCTGTGTTGACCATAGATTCCTCCCAGAGCACAGATACTCCAGGCTCTCCAGGGAACACTGTGTATGCACAAGTCACTCATCCAGTACAGGTAAGACCTTTCCACTCTGTCCTCCACCATTACTATTATGATTACTCACAAACTTGTCACCGTAATTATCAACATTCATGACTGGAGAAGGCAACCGCAGGGCTGACCATCCCCATTTCTGCAATGATCACCCCTAAGGGAATGTTTACTCTGGCTTGCTTCCCAGTATTCTCTAACTGCTTAGTGTTCCAGTAGGTCTTATCCCTTCTGGGGAGGGACAACCAGCTTGAAAGCACAAATTAGATATCCTCCCTTTCCCTCATGGCATGGATCAGAGGAGATTGAACCCTAGGAGGAGCCATCATCCAGGTAGAGGAGTACTAGGAGAGCCTAAAGTGGCCTCTCAAGAGAAGAGGGGGGCAAGAATCACAACCCCTCCACAATAAAGAAAACTAAAGCAAGAGATCTTCAACATAATAGGATGGCCTTGGTCAAGTGCCAAGAAATCCTCTGTCCCTACTACCTATGAATGAGACAATTGTGGGGACATTTTTCTGAATAACTAGACATACTGGGGAGCCAGTTCTCAAGTTTTCTGAAAAATAAGCCAAAAAAAAAAAAAACTTGGCATTCTCAAAATAATGGAAGCAACAGCCCAGCTAGAAGTCTTGGATTCCCCCAAGCAAACACTCCTGGCCAAGCTCATCACAGGCTTTATAGAGTAGGCTCCTAAAAGAGAGGACAATAAGGGGCATTCATACCTATCGAGGACTATGGGAGTCCAGCCCCTCGATAGTCCACTCCCAGGGTCCAGGAAGAATCTACAACCAGCTGATAATTAATCTTTAATGAAAAGAAATGAATCTATGTACACAAAACTCCTTAGTTCATACACTTTATTATTCTGTGATGGTTCTCTCTCTACACAGCTTCTATTCTGCTCTCATGTTTAGCTCCTTTCTTGCCTGATTTCTCTCTATATTTACCTACGGTCCCCTCTAGGTTCTATCTTAATTTCTTCATCTAGTTCTGTCCCTTCTAGGTTCTCATCTGTCTAGTTCTTTCCCCTATCAGCTCCTCTCCCATCTCCTTCTCTCTCATCTGGCTCTTCCTCATCTTGTTCTTCTCCATCTGGCTCTTCCTCATCTTCTATCTCGTTCCTCTAGTCCTCTCTTTAGCCCTTCAATCTAGTTCTTTCCCATCTCAGTTTGTTCCTCTCAAGTTCATACCCATCTAGTTCTTCCATTCTATTTTCTCCCCTTTTTGCCCTGGAAGTCCCAGTATATAAAGGGAGGGTCCAAGCTAAATTGTATAAAGCTATTACTTAACGTCCACCTCTCCTAGGTGGTGTCTCCTTGTGGAATTTAAGTCAGTAGACTTGCAGGTGGGCTGTTATCATTGTTATCCTCGGAAGTTGGGTGCCCACCTGGGTGGTGTTTCCTGTAGTCCTTGAAAGTGGCTAAGGGAGATAATCTGATTCCAGAGAAAGCCTTTCCTGAGGCTGTTCTCCAAATACCTGGAATGTGTATGTCCAGAGAGTGATTAGTCTACACTGTTGGCCCTTTTTAGGGGAAATTCAATTGGAAAAACTATGAAGGCACACATGATTTTCATAACAGAATACAGCTGATATATAACAAGCCAAGTAACACCAAAAACTCCTTGGGATTTGGCTTCCTCTGGAGGAATTCCCTGATTCCTCCAGGTAGTGACTTTGCCATAACCAGCTGAGTTCTTATGATATATTCCTGCGGCCCACAGCACATACCACTTACTCAATTGTCATTCCCAACTCCTGCTGGGAGCAAGCTCTCCAACAAGCCCAAACATTAATGACTAGTCCATTTGTCAGCTTCTTTAAAAAAAAAAAAAAAGCATTATACCTTGGAGAGTTTCTTAATCATTCTCTAATTTAAAGTATCAAAATACGTCAACATGTCATCTAGAGCCTGGGATTTCTGTTGTTACTACTGCTTAGTGAGCCACAACATGGTGACTGGGCCATTCGAATAACAGAGATAAATGGAGGCAGCAAAGAGGGCGGCTCCAGTTACAGCTAGTGAAGACTGAGACAAAAGATAGGAGGCCATAAGTGTCCAACATGTAAGTTTGTAAAGACAGGAGGAGCAAACATAGAATCAGATGCAAGGCAAGAATGTTTTTATCCCTTCACACAAGGCCACCTTTTTGTTGCTCTCTGGTTGGGACCTTTGGGTTGCTGGGATGTTGCTCTCCTGTTTAGGTTGCTTGCCTGCTTCTCAAGAAATGTTGCTAACACCTCACAGGCTTGACCTGGTAGAGCTTAGTCCCCACCTCCTCTTGGCTTTCCACTTCTTTCTTCACGGTGCCTTTCCCCAAAAGATGTGTCTGCGTGGACCTCCTTGTCTCTGTGAGAGCCAAATGCATGTGACTCTTGTTCATTGTGGTTTACAGGAAATGAAAATCCCAAAATCCATGAAAAATGATTCCATGACAATTTACTCCATAGTTAATCATTCCAGACAGGTAAATCCATGATTGTTTTATCTTCTTTTATTTTGTATGTGTGAATATGTGTGTGATGTGTGTCTGTGGTTTGCGTTCATCTGTGTGAGGATCAGAACAACCCCAGCCAGTCTCCTCTTCTACCACTCTCTTATCTCACCCCCATTAAACAGTGCCTCTCACTAAACCTGAAGCTAAACCTGTGGCCAGAAAACCCAAACAATCTTTCTGCCTCTGACCCTCAAAGTGCTGGCATCACAAGCACATGCACAGTTTTTTATGCAGGGACTGGGGATTTGAACTCTGATCCTCATGCTTGCTCAGCAACTACTCTTATCCACTGAGCCATCTTGCCAGGCCCTATGTTCTTGTATTTTTACTCCTCTCTCAAACCTATGATTTTGCAAATGAAAGTAAAAGGTCCATTTTATAGATATCCAAATACCACTAGAAAAAAAAAGAAAAGAAAAAGTCTTGGGATATTACCAAAATATGAAAAGTGATCTTGGGACTGTTGAGATGACTCAGTGGGTAAAAGGCGGTTTTCACCAAGCCTGATGACCTGAGTTCAATCCCCAGGGCCCACATTGTAGGAGAAAACCATCTCCCACAAGTTGTTCTCTGTAGCAGAAACATAAACCACACACACACACACACACACACACACACACACACACACACACACACACACACACACGAATATACAAACACATAACTCCTTTTGTTATCTTGTATTAGGATCACCTATTATAATTAACCTACCTGTTTTTTAATGTAATCCTGCCTCATCCATTAACAACCCTACTGTCTGACTGGCAGGGCTTTCATGTCCTCTCTGTAGCCATGGAGGGTAGGCTATGGCCTGCCTATTAATCAATCTACTTCTTTCTCTCCTCATAAAACAAGCCCATTTCTCCCAGGATGGATACTCTTAAGGACATCAAGTAAGTTGGTGGAAGACTTTAAAGGAATTCAGGCCGAGCAAGCACATCTGCCAACCCCTTGGAAGAGAGCAGAGAGGCATGGTTCCCTACTGGCAATGGAATCTGGATATCCAGAGTTATCACGTCAGACTTGATCCTGCATACATAGGTCAGATGCTTGAGGAATAGCAAGAGCTCCAGTATGGAACCCCCAAACTGCTTTCCAATCCACTCCAGGACAATTCCTGCTTTGGATAACACACCTACATATTGCTTCCTCTTTGATAACTAAACAGAGTTTTGACTGACGGATTATAATTCTGCAGGTAATCATTTCTCTCCTTCTAGAAGGCAAGCAGGATGTGATTGGTTGGAGAGGGAGCATGATGTTTTGGTTAAGTGTGGAGCATCTGGCGTTGGATGGGCCCACACTCATATCCTACAAATCATTTACTAGACAGGCCTCCTGGGATGTTTTCTATGCTCTTGGTGCTTTAATCTCATAGCCAAAAATAAGAGGAGGATAGCAATACGTTGAGTCTGTTGCTCAAGCCAGGAATTTAAGTCATCCCTGATTACAACCTCTCTCTATCACCAAGCCCTGCAGACTCTACCTCCAAAATACAGTAAACCTATCTCTTTCCAACTTGTAGACCATCATCCTATCTCCAGCCTTCCCCACCTGGAACCTGAATACACCAACAACCTCTAAACGTCTCTTCTAATTTTTCTCTTGTCTCCCTGCAACCCATGGTCCGAAAGACAACCAGCACAATGTCCCCAGCATAGACCAGCTCTTTCTCCTGCCTTTTCATAACCCTGCTGACTCCTCATTACACTCAGTGTGAAAGCCAGTCTCCATGGCCCAGGATGGTCTGACACATCCCAAACTGTTAGCATCACTTTCTCCACTCTCTATTTGGCCTCTGTGATCTTTCAGCTCCTCTATAAGGAAAGAAAGTTCTCCATATTATAGTCATTTACATCTGCCTCAAAGCCCTCCCTCTGCCTGTTGGGTTCCTCCTGTTCTTTAGACCTCAGCTTAAACACATCAGCTTCTAGAAGAGACCTTCCCAGAGTGATCTCCCTAAAGTGGGTTTCCTTTTCATTCTCTTAACCCTTCCATGTTGTTTATCACATGTCACCAAATATTTATTTTTATTTTTAATATCTGTTTCCCTCATTAAAGCATAAGTTTGTGGGATCAGAGACAATAATTATTTTATTGCTAGTACATTGTGTTAATTAATTACATTGTAAATGTTAATACCTAGTACATTGTAACTGTTCAAACAGCATTTTTAATAAATGAATGTGTATGTAATGGGTTTGTATGGAATTCAATAAGACAATACAGTTGGCTCTGCAACTGTGAGTCTGCTTTTGTGTATTCTATCAACTACAAACTGAAATATTTGAGAAAGAATTGTATCTATTCTAAGTATACATATATATAATACTTTTCCTTATTATTCCCTTGAGGTAGACATAGTTTCTATACTATCCCATTTTATTTGAAGAATTGGCATCTAGGGATAGCCTAGAACTATCTCCCAGGAACACCAGTGGATGGCTGTAAGCCTGAAGCCCTTGGCATTGGGCCCGGCACATTAAAAAGCTCAAGAAATATCAGGTCTGCAAGGTCTGCCTGGTGCCATGTGTATGGCACTCCTAGAACCGCAATGCTTGGCAAGTGGAATCAAGAGGATTCAATGTCATCCTCAGCTATACAGAAAGTTCAAGGCCAGCCTGGGCTACATGAAACCTTGTTTCAAAAACAAAATTAATCTTATCACTATATTTATCATCACTATTAAATTTTATTCTCCTGAAGTCACAGAATCTTTTTAAATAGCTTCAATACCTAAGGCAGAAGAATCCTAAGTTCAAGACCACCCTGGGCTACATAGGAACCCTTTCACAGAGGTCACCTAAGACCATCAAAAAACACAGAGATTTACATTATAATTCATAACAGTAGCAAATTTACAGTTATGAAGTAGCAAGAAAAATTCTATGGTGGGAGGGTCACCATCACATGAAAAATTGTATTAAAGAATCAAACATTAGGAAGGTTGAGAACTACTACCTTCGACAATCCATTAAGACTTTTTGACTCTGAGACATCCTAACTTTCAATTTCTTCTACATATACATGAAATGCTTAAATCATTACAAAACATAGTATCATTCTGTATGTCTTTAAAACCAAATTCTCATCAATGTTTTATTTTTTAATTTAAAAAATTTAATGTTTTTAAAATTGAAATATAATTACATCACTTCCTCCTCCCTTTGCTTTTCCAGGTCTTCCTAGCTAACCTTCAAACCCCTTCCATGGCCCTCAACTCTCTTTTCTTTTTGTTTATTTGTTTGTTTGTTTGTTTTTTGAGACAGGGTTTCTCTGTGTAGCCCTGGCTTTCCTGGAACTCTCTTTGTAGACCAGGCTGGCCTCAAACTCATGAAGATCCACCTATCTCTGTCTCCCCAGTGCTAGTGTCCTAAAGCATGGAAGAAGACTCACTGGACAAATATAAAGTGTCCTCCTTTGCTTTTTTACATGTATGTGTGCTTGTGTACTTATCAGGCATGTGGGAGTCAGGGGATGTTTTAGTTAGGGTATCTATTGCTATGGTGAAACACCATGACCAAAAGGCAAGTTGGGGAGGAAAGGGTTTATTTGACTTACACTTCCATATTGCTGTTCATCATCAAAGGAAGCCGTCAGTCAGAACAGGAATTCAAACAGGGCAGGAACCTGGAGGCAGGAGCTGAAGCAGAGGCCATGGAGGGTGCTGCTTACTAACTCACTCCTTATGGCTTGCTCAGTCTGCTTTCTTATAGAACCCAGGACCACCAGCCAAGGGGTGGTACCACCCAGCAGTGGGCCAGGCCCTCCTCCATCGTTCACTGGCCTGCCCTATCTTACAGTGGCATTTTCTTAACTGAGGTTCCCTTCGCTCTGATGACTTCAGCTTGTATCAAGTTGACATGAAACTGTCCCACACAGAGGACAACTCGAGGGAGAGCTCCCCTTACACCATGTGGCTCCTAGGATTGAACTCGGCTCCTCAGGCTCGACTGACAGTGCTTTAAACTGCTAACCTTCCCACCCAGCCCTTGAAGTGTTCTTCATTTATCAAGTGATTAAACAAAATAAGTAAGTAAGATGTCCAGTGACCCTCACAGAGGGAGAAGTTGAGGAAGGTAGAGAAATACATTCCAAAACAATGACACCAGGAAATTTAAAGGCAAATGGATGGAACTAAAAAAAATAATCATTCTGAGTGAGGTAACCCAGAATGAGAAAGACAAACTTGGTTTGTACTCACTCACAAGTGGATATTAGCTGTAAAATAAAGGATAACTATGCTACAATCCACAGACCCAGAGAGACTAGGTAACAAGGAGGGTTCATGGCGGGATGCCCCAATCTCCTTGGGAAGGGGAAATAGAAGAGATTTTGTGAGTGGACTGAGGGTGGGTGGGGATGGGAACAGGAGGGATCAGATTGAGGGGGGTGGAGGGAAAGAGTACTGAAAGAGACTAATGGGAAGGGGGGCATTTGGGGGTGAGGAAACCTTATGCAAGGGAACCTCCCAGGAATCTACAAGAATGATCCCAGCTAAGATTCCAGCAATAGTGGATACATAGCCTGAACTGGTCATCTCCTGTGACCAGATTGGTGCCTAGCCCAGTTGTCATCAGAGAGGCTTCATCCAGCAGCTGATGGAAACAGATGCAGACCCACAGCCAAGCATTACATGGAGTTTGGGAAATCCTACAGAAGAAGGGGAGAAAGGATTGTAGGAGCCAGAGGGGTCAAGGCCACCTCAAGAAAACTCACAGAATCAACTAACTTGGGCTCATAGGTGTTCACAGAGACTGAACAGACAACCAGGGAGCCTGCATGGGACTGACCTAGGCACTCGGCTTATATATTACACTTGTGTAGCTTGGGCCTCTTGTGGGACTCCTAATAGCGGGAACAGGGGCTGTATCCAACTCTTTTACTGGCTTTTGGGACCCTGCTCCTCATACTAAGTCCCCAGCCTTAATACATGGGCAGGTGCTTATTCTTACTGGAGCTTGATATGCCATGTTTTGTTGATACTCGTGAGAGACCTGCCTATTCCCAAACAGATACAGAGGAGGAGTGGTCTGGGGAGAGGGAACAGAGGGAGGTGGGGGGGAGGGGCTGGGACGAGAGGAAGAAGGGGAAACTTTGGCCAGGATGTAAAGTAAATAAATAAATTCATTAAAAAAGAAGGAAAGAGAAAGAAAGAAAGAAAGAAAGAAAGAAAGAAAGAGAGAGAGAGAGAGAGAGAGAGAGAGAGAGAGAGAGA